GTTCTATCTGCCATAGGTTACATACATTACATGTATGAAATTCAAAGTACTATAATGTAAAACACTGTAATTATCAAATTTTCTCATTAATTATGCAAATAAAGTCCTCATTTGAATAATTTGCATTTAATTATGTACATCTCTCTCGCAGCTACCTACCTACCAAAAATGACGAAAATATGTTGTTCCTATCTGGACTTATTGGCTTTCAAAGATTTCGCCCGAAGGTAACCTGCAGTTCCAGAACAAGCTGCTAGGGGGACCAAACCCACACCACTTTTTCCTGACAAGAAAAGCTATCTGTCACCAAAAAGTCAAGACCATAGCATGTTCAGGACAAAAGATACAAAAATCAGAAGTTCTGCTGCAGTAACAAGGTCATGCACCAGGAGGCCTATATTGACCTTGACCTTTGTCTTCCTAAGACTTACATGCATACCAAATATCATCACAATCCATAAAGGCGTTATGAAGTTATGCTGATTACAAATGTGCGGAAACACAAACACACACACACACATGCAGACAGATAGACACACACAGACGGACGCGCCAAAAACAATACCTCCATTTTTCATACTGTCGTAAACGTCCTATGTGATTGTACAACGTACAATGGGGCCGCATTTCAGACTTCATGTTACTGTGTAGAGATGTGAATACTTTGCCTTTGGAAATGCATCTATAAGCGATGGTACCTGTGCATTGTGCAGTGTAAAACTCTTAACATGGGCGATGGGCCACCAAGTTTCTGTTGAAATCGCTGTACTGGATCTACGTAAGCACACTGTCTTTGTTTGAAAGGAATTTAGTCCGCCAGACACGCATCATAAGTTGTTAGTTCTGATCGCAAAGGACGGCGGTAAAAAGACATCGTTCTTCACAGTTGATCGCATTCGCGAACCCGCTAATCGATAAGTAGAACCGTCGTCAGAGAGCTGACTTCTCACTTCAGAAAAATGAAAGTTCGCATTTTGCACAAATCTGCCAAGCCACGTCAAGATTTCCTGGTAGTTTCCCTTTCCTTCCGAGAGAAAGTAGTCCGTGCCACACCTCTGTGCGTCAACACCCGTTACAAGATAGCTCGTCGCTGCAAGGTTAACCACGGGTCTGCCTAACCTCAACGTATCTAAAATATCTATCTTTTTTTATTAAAAAAAATTGAGTCAATGTGGTATCGTTATCTATTCAATAATTTGACCCAAAACATGGTATTTTTAACTGGCGGCAGATTTTAAACCAACAGGAAATATAACGTCTAAGAAAGGGCAGAGATTCTATTTTCTGTCGGTTTGTAACCAGTTACATATTTTAAATGCAGATGACCCCGAAAAGCGCAAGTTTATAGTCATAAAGCACCACAACCTTAGCTTGTTAAATTTTTACTGTCTTCTTATGGTATCTCTATGATAAGTGCGTATGAGTTGCATACGGACAGTTTTTATCATACGCATCCGTACGCAAACTGCGCACTGTATATTTATCTCCGTCGTTTTATGTAAGTTTTGATAACGTCAGCATACGCACGGCACACGCACAGACTGGCTCAGTACGCAGCGTAATTTTGAGCATGCCCAAAACCACGCTGCGTACGCTGTTACGCCGGTCATGCGTTTTTAATACAAAGGACGAACGTTCGTATTGCAACAGGACAGCGCATTATACACATTTGTAACTAAAGAGAAGAGCAAAGGTTGCGAACAGATCTAGATAGCGAACTGGCCGAACACTTGGGCTACAGCCGGGTACCGGCTCCTCTGGTTCCCATGGTTAACAGACCTCCTGGGGCATTTTAAGTAAGATGTAACAAAAAATGAATAAGTTCATTAATATGTTAAGATTGGCTCTTTCTAATTTGTTTTGCTGAAAATTAAATGATTATTTGGAAAACGTCTTTCCTAGAGTGCAGTATGTTTTACAAAAATGTTGACACTTTTAAACACAAAAGAACACCCTTGTACCGCCTCCCCCCAAAATGATGATAGGACTTGCCATTTTGCATATTATCAATATATCTATATTTAAAATTAACATAAAATATTTGCTTTTTGTTGTCTGTACTTTGGTATAATACGGCAGTTGCCTGTTTTTGTTTTTTGTCTGAGAAATGTGTAGTGTACGTAGATTGGTAAAAAAAATAGTTCATAAAAATATACGTACATAAAAGCCACGGGCGAATATAAACTCAATGTCATGAAACATCTAAAGGTGATGGACATATAACAGTAGCCGCTTTGAACTGTGCTTGTAATGTAGCGTCGGTAGATATATAAAGATTGTAGTGTTCGCAGTGATGTGTAGCCCATGCTATCTGTTCGTATATGCGCAATTGTAACTTGTCTCTTTTCCAAGTTATGTGTGTTTTCATTGTTTTCAACGTTATTAAGGGAGCTTAAAGGTATTCTTGACATCTCCAATATTCATCAAGGCTATTAACAGTCGAACTGGTATGTTTGTATAAAGTCCGTGTACATGTATTTTAACCGACAAGATATTACAGGAAACTGACCAAGGCTAGGGCAAATTGGAAACAAACGCATTTTATCTGAGTTGAGGGCGGTCAATGATGAGAAGGACTCGCTGCGAATGAAACAGCAGGAAGCAGCAGGGAATACGCCGCAACACGCTTGGCATTCGTCAGGAGTGCGTTAGGCATGCGGTGGGCATACGCCGAGTGCGTCCGGAATACGCTTGGCCTTCGCAATGCATGTGAACGCAATACAGATGCGATATGCAATCTATGCGCTGAATTCGTTATTTTTAAATAAGAAGTGTGGTAGGTTTGGGCCCCCTAGCGGCTTGCTATGGAACTGCAGGGGCGTTTCTTTAAAGATATACATAAGAGGATAACTCAGAAACCGGTGATTTAGGTAGCTTAAGTGACGCTTGACATATGCGATGATTATGCACATCTGGATGTAATTTACATAATTAATAAGAAAATTTTATGCTGGCATTACATTATCGGACTATTCAAGCGTGTAACCATGTGATTGAGAACAAGAGAAACACAGGCAGATGTTGATTATGTAAATTAACACTTAATTTGCATAATTAATGAGATCATGTTATAATTCCATAATGGTAAATGCCTGAAATTTCATACTTGGGGTATTTGAAAGTTAAGTGAAGGTGAACATCATTAAAACATTACTTATTCAAATAAGGACCTCATTTGCATAGTTTATAAGGAAACGATAGAATGGCTTTCATTGTTGAAGGAAGGCTGTCTTTTGGTGGAGAAGATGATTAACTGATATAAATCTAGCAAATAAGGATCCTATTTGCATAATCAGGAGGAATAATATTCACTTTGTCAGTCATAAGATTACATCATTTGGCGAAGGTATGAGATCGTGGAACTCTAGTTACATGTAAATTCAAGTTAAGAATGTAGTTTTACGATGTACCTTAGTTCGAATATAACAGTGAACAGTAAGGCATGTCCCTAATATTATAATAGTAATAAATGTTTAAATTGGTGACCTCTCTCTCCCGATTTCAACAAAAACTCAGTGGCCTACCGGTCAGCATTGCCCTGAGGAAGGTGTCAGGTCACCGAAACGTCGGCTGTAAAAACACACTTGGTTGCGTAAATGTCTTTTTATCGAGTTACGAACCAGCCAAATAGCCAACTACAGCCGACCTTACTGATAACTGGTTCATTTGCAACACGTGCTCAGTCATGCCGTTGCAGCCTTATCTGGCTGAATTGGGGCATGATACAAATCTTGTGTAATTCTTAAAACAATCCATCACATGTCTATAGCCTTACAGACAAGGTACCATTACTAATTCATCAAAATCAATTCTACAAATATAGGCTAAAAGACAAGATGAGTACTGGTTAAAATTTATTAAATAGCTTTACAGTAAAAGAGACCTATTGATTAAAATCCATTCTATTATACATGTACTATACCAGGCTAAGAGGCGAGGTACTAATGATTAAATTCCATTCGATAATTTTACAGTAAAAGGCAAGGTAGTATTCGTAAATCTGGAAGTTCTACAGTTAAACTGGATAAAGTTATCCTTTGATCTCAGTTTTCTGCCGTGTAAGTTTGCCCGTTTCGGAGGCAGCCAGCAAGAGAAGACAGGGGATTTAGAAATAGAAACTGCAAACTTCATACACAGATTGCGTCTTCTCGAGGAAAGGGGAGTGAGAGATAGCTGTTTAGTGCTCTGTCATAGCTAACATATGTTCTGTCTAGAATCACTCTGCAAGCCCTCTTCTGTACGGCTTCAATATGCTTCGACTGGAGACTAGTGAGGCCAGGATGCCACACCGGACAGGCATATTCCAACAACGGCCGGACAAAACCACAGAAAACTAGCACTAGGTCGTTATCGTTAAGTCCGTGTTTCTTCAGGACACGTACTAGGTAGAGCCTACGGTTAGAGTGGATTAACCGGTTTTATCGCCATGCCAAACTACATCTGCATATTCCAGACTAGGACGAATAAAGGACTAGTTCCTAAAATATTTAACTTCAGAGCTATGATGACTTGGAAACATTACTACATAGATAGTTAGGGTGGTATTTCGAAGAAATGTCAAATTTCAGAACTGTAATATTCTCGTCCATTTGCAATTAGCCAAGAGGTAATATTTGCATTAAAGTGATTGTGATTAAAATTGAATACCTTTAGATTCCAGCAGAATCCGTCTTGTTGAGCTTGGGCCTCACGGACCAACCAAAGGACGTGTAGAAGTTCGACCGGCCGACAGTCGGACTTGGGGCGGAGTATGTCCTGACCACTTCGACCTAAGGGAGGCAGACGTTGTTTGCAGAATGCTGGGTTATATCTGGGCAAACGGCTTTTCATCAGTTACCCTATTTGGTAAAGCGTACGGTTCGTCTTCTGCTGTCTGACGTAAATACTTTCTTTGCGTATTCGCATTCGACTCATTAAGCCCTTTTTGTCTGTTTCTATAATGACTACATTTTTTTAAATCTTCTACATATTGTTTTTTAGGTGAACAAATGCTGGTCTACATGGCTGACCTACGGTGTGATGGGAACGAGAGTAGCCTGTTTGACTGCTCGTACGCAGGATGGGGGAATCACGGCTGTGAAGATGGAGGATATAGAAGACATAGACATGCCAGCGTTGTCTGTGGTACATTGATAAAGTAGTCATTATAAAATCAATGTTTAGATTGGATTAAATAGAAAAAAAATTAATTATAGCTCTTTCAAGATAACCGACTGAGAGGATTTAACGTCTTACGTTTATTTGTACACCATATAACACACACACACACACACACACACACACACACACACACACACACACATACATACATACATACACACATACACACACACCACAAACTCATCTCATGTGTGTGATAATATATTTAGATCCCAGCAGAATCCGTCTCATCGGTGGTTCCGGGCCTAAAGAAGGACGCGTGGAAGTCCGACCAGACGACAGTATGACCTGGGGCACAGTTTGCCACAACCGTTTCAACATGAACGATGCAGACGTTGTTTGCAGAATGCTGGGTTATCCTAACGCTACCCAGGTCCGAAATGGGGCATATTTTGGCCAAGGTAAGATCTTCATTTTCATCAAGTTGATCTTTTTTCTTTACGTTTGCCCGGCCTAAACCTAAGTAAAAAAAGGTGGGATGGAAGTATGGATCAATCAATCATTCAATCAATCAATGAACGAACGGACTATGCGGCCAAGGCCTTGCTGCTATTCATACACTCCCATTGTGTTCTGATAAGCTCGAATCGCTAAATACTGTGCTACAATAAGATAAAAAGCTCACACGGCAATAAGTCTGACAAAGGTATACATTCACAATATGATTTCACGTTAACCCTACCTAGACGGGGGGGGGGGCTAAAAGTGCTCGCGGCAACTTTGATGTCACCTAGCGTCTGAACGGCTAGCCGTAGAACGGCCAAACTTGGTGACTTTTCCTAAAATATTGTTGGCAACAATTTTCTATCATCGGAATGGGATAATGATTTTTGTGGTGCCATGGCAACGGGTTTCTGACAGGCATTTTTTGCTAAATTTAGTACTTTTTGTTTCAACAATAGAATTTTATGGGTTTTATGTCAAGTTACTCATACTTTCTAATATTAATAACATGCCATATAATTTTATGTAAATTTTATCATTAAATATGCATAATTTATGCTAATTTGATTACGTCATTGGCCAAAATCAAAGATGGCGGACCATATCATTAGAACAGGTATATACAGGTTATTTCATTAAAATTTCATCAATACTCCCGTTTCTTTTTCCAAAAAAGGTTTAAATGAAGGCCTTTAGTATGTTAACAATGTATTTTAGGCTTTATCATGAAAAAAACAAACTATTTTTGAAAATTCAAGATTGATGATCCAAGATGGCGGATATCTTAAATATGCATGACGTCATTTTATGACGTCACTGGTGTTGCTATGGGCAACATAAGACTTAGTACACCATAATATTCTGTCATAAACACTTTTGGTACAGTTATGGTCTCGGACCGGAGTTTTTTTCACGATTTTGGATCCGGCGGACACCCTCAGACCGAAGGGCTATAACTCCGCCAAAAAAAGTACGCCGGGAAATCTCATTACATCAGTCAACGGAGGTTTCCAGCCGGCTTCCGATACAATTTTGGTTATTGTCCGTCGACTCTATAATTTGGGTAGAAACTGTAGTTAAACGTAAATTTTGGATACGAAAAATGTAGTTTTTTTGCAGTTTTTTCAACGGACCTGCTTGGAAAAAAACGAATTTTCCCAGGCTAACGGCTTATATGCTGAAATAGCTTACTACTTTCTGTTTCTGAAAAACAGAAAAAAACTATAGGTTGTTGCGATAAGTTTTTCGCAAAATCCGGTGACGCGAACCCCTAGAAATTCCACATAGAACGCAGCTATTTGGGTCATCAGGCGACAAACCGCATCACCCTTGCTCGCGGACTAATACCAAAAACGCTTCGCTGGCCGTCCAACTTCACCGCGCCGAAAAACACTACAATCCCAAGGCTTTTTGATCAATTCAAAACCTAGTTGAAAATCTACAGCGATCGCCGAGCTATGGGGAGCCAAACCTAGCGTGACAACCTCGCAGATCCGGCGATTTACTGCGCACTATTTGGAACCCTGGTCAGAATTAAACTCCGACCCGGAACCTTATGTTGAATACCATTTAGTTTTCAGGGAAAAACCTATTTAGAGGGTTTTGGCCAATAAAATCACATTAATGACGTCATAATGACGTCATATTACGTCATAACGACATACAAATTGTAGATATGATAAATTTTCACTAGTACACCATTCTCTGAAAATTTGGTGGTCATACGACATACCGTTCTCGAGTTCGTTGGGGGGGGCAAAAGAGCCCCCCCCGGTCCCCCCATGTCAAAAAAAGCCCGGTCTAGGTAGGGTTAAAGCAGTACTAGAGGTGCTATATTTCGACAGGCATTTATTTTTGGAAGTCAAAAATGCATATTATTTTACAGTATACAATTAAATGCCCATTTTGCGCGCAAGTCTTAAAACGCATTGAATCCAGGACAAACTCTCCAAATGCCCTCAAAACTTCCCCAGAATACACCACGCTACCCCATTGGTGTCTATGTTTTAAACAAAAAGTTACGTTACAGACCTCATTTCGGGGGCGATAAGAAAAATTCGTACCGTTTTGTGTTCTTTGGTATCTTACCAACCATTGTCGACATGTCCTTCTTGGTGTCCTTATCGCCCCTCATTTATGCCGCAAATATTGACAATGAAAAAACGGCGTAATCTAGTTATCCTTTCCATAAGTGGCGTAATCTAATTATCTGTTCAAGTGATACTTACATGCAAATAAGTTGAAAAAATCAAACGACGCAGGATGAAACTGGCGCCCACTGTATTCGACATCCTGATATTATAATATCCAAGCCACAGGTCAAGCAAAGTAAAGCAAGTAATTTCTCAATAATCAGCTTGTTAGTGTGCTAGTCTCCTACCGTTTTCACCAAAAAATGTTTATGTTGACCTGAAGTGTATGAGTATTGCGTAAGCCAGAGTTCCCGGATGTATCAATTGTGGTTCAGCATGGGGGAAAATGATATTAATATCACTTTACAAACATGCGCCGTGCAAGTCGTACAAGCGAAATTATGTAAAAAGTCGGCTAGTTATGTATTCATTGCAGCATGATGTATCGAAAAATAACACTTCCTTCTGGAGGTTATAATTAGTACTCCTTTAAGCTGCGGGTCTCGGATATATCCGGGATCAAAGTACATGTCCTGTGTGCGGGTCCCGGATATACGAGTATTTAGGATTGGGGCATTTCTCGGGCGAAAACGGTCACTTCGCGCCGGCAGGGGTCAGGGGTCAAATTGCATTACGTAACCACTTTTACCTCATTCCCGGTTAGATTTTCTCAAATGGCGGCTGTCGTCTGCCGAGAGCATTTTTATTGTTTTTAGTGTCTTTTCGGCGATAAATTTCTTATTTTTGTCGCGAAGCGTCTGGATTTACGCTGAAATACGTGCTTTGGGACCATGAAAGTATTAATTTTAGGGGAATTTATCCTTCCCTCGGCGAGGATTCTCCGGAAAGTAGCGTCGATGTGGGAAGCACACGGAATGAAATTATGACCCCGATGGGAATTTGTACTTAGTAGGTAGGAGTTGAAGAACTTGGCATTGGCCGCCGAGTTGACAGTGGGTAGACGTCCGGGCGAGAAGTGTTATGTACCTATGATTTTTAGAGCTCCAGAAAGGAGAATACCGTCCTTGTAATATATTAGCCTTTCAGCTGAATAGTCAGTTCAGCACAAAGGGCAGTCTGTAGATATAAATTCACCGGTAGTACCATCTTGATTCCTTTTTATTCAATGAAAGTAATGCTTATTATGTTGTATTAGAATTCGCCAGGAGCTATATATTCCAAGTGAAAGCGATTTTATGTGTACTTGAGTGCATTTTATTCAAATCATTGTGGAAAATGTGTACATTAATTTATTAAAATATTTAAACTCTCTACATGCCAATACTAGAAACCCCTTCATACTAACGCACAAAATGTATATGTGTATGTAGGGGAGCTAGATTTCAATCAAAGTGAGAAAGATTGATCATTGGTAATTTTTGTTAATTGTCTAGAAAACCCCTAATTCTCTGTTTCGGCCCGTAACATTTGACACGAACATGTGACACGCCATTCGACTTGACGGTACGCGGGTGCTGGTCGTTTGTCTCTTCATCTGGTGTTTTTTGCGAATATGGAGTCTGATCCTGACAGGAAGAAGAAGAGACGATGCTCTGTGTGTCGGCTACCAGTGAAAGGCCACCAGGGACCATACGGCCGCGGCAAGTGCGCTGTTGAGCGGCCAGAAGGATCCTCAGATGAAGACTTTCTCGGTCGACAGCGGAGTAGTGCTAATGTCCAGGAGAAGATCAGAGGCCTCCGGTGGCACAGTAAAGTTCCGGAGCTAGTGCGTGGGGCATGGTCGGACAGCCTCTCGGAATACACGGAGGAAGAGGTAAGGTTGGCTAGATCACACAACCTAAAGAAATCGTCTGATTACGGCGGAGAGAAAGCCAGCGTTCGAGCAAGAAGTGAACCCCTCTACAGGTTTCCCGCCAAAACGCACGTGACCGGAGCAGGGAGAATGCACAAAATGCAGGAAAGACCAGCCCGACATTCGAGATCTGAGAGAATCCAGGAGATTGGTCAAAGAGGTGGAGAAGGCCTTTGACGACTTGTTACATCCAGTTACAAGCCAGGAGAGGAGGATCAGCGACAAACGCCTTGATGATCACGACTTTCAACTTCAACATCGTCACAGACTGAGCAGTCGTCCGACACGGAGAAGTCAGGTTTCACGAGAAAACCAGAGTGGCGCCGGCGTCACAGGGGGTCGCGTAAGAAGAAGACCGAGGCTAGGGATCCGCCCAAAACGCTTTCATCCGACACAACAGAGTCAGAGTTGGGTTTCGTGAGAAAACCAGACAAGCGCAAGCGTCGCAGTGGGTCGCGTTAGAAGAGGAGCGCTGCTCGCTAGGGTCGGCGGCAGGAAGAAAGAGAAAGGAGAACGATCCCGGCGCAACTATGACTCGGATACATCTTTGTACGACTCCCGCTCACGTTCTACGAGGCGACGTCGTGCAGGTAAGAGCGGTCGTAACCGTACTATTTATGATTCGGGTACACGTCGGGTCAAAGTTGACTGGCCACAGCATCGGGTGCATTTCCCGGGATATGGTAAAGAAGGGGGCGTGACTTATGACGAGTTATCGAGAATGTTCTCGATCGTGATCGTGTTTCTACTGACGCAGAACATAAGTTAGTTCACCTAACAGATCTTATGTTCGATGCTGTGTACTATGACTGGGTTGCAGTGCGAGAAGTTCACGCATTATTACTGTATGGGATGGAATACGGATCGCTTACATGGGGGAACCGCGGTGCCTTTGATCCTATCAGGGAAAGACACTACCAAACACACGCTAGAGTTGCCTGGGGCAACGCGGGCAACGCGTCGAGAGCGGGGCTTGTGAAAGAGGCTCGAGTGTCGGCAAGCAGACCTCGCT